GCGGGGGTGCGGGGCCGCTGGGCGCCGCGGTCCAGCCCCGAGCCGCCTGCCTCACCGCGCCCAGGCCCTGCGAGAGGCCTTAGCCGAGAAAGGGTCTCTGGGAGCTCTGGGCGTACCTCGGCTGTTGGGATTCGGAACGGGTCACAGCACAGCTTCCCATTGTGGCCACGAGAGCTCGCTCCCTCTTCCCGGGGATGGCAGGGCCTTCTGCAGATGCCCTGGGTCTGGGCGTTCGGTGACTCAGCTGCTCCCAACCCGGCTCTCGGAGCAGTGGCCGGCAGCCAGCAACTCCCTGATATGGGCCCTCCCAGTGCTGGGCTCTGGGCCCTGGGCTCTGGGACGGTAACACCCAGTCTTCACGGGCAGCCGCATGGATGGGCCCTCTAGGTCTGCCTGGGCCGGTGTTTTCAGCATAATCTCAGTCCCGGCTTTCCATTCTGGCTAAACTGGCCTCCTGGTGCTGGACCCCGGTGCGGAACCGGACTGCGCCATTTCAAACTGGCCCAGTGGTGTCACCTTCTCTCAGGTCCCTGTCACTCCCAGAGGAGCACAAGTGAGGAAGTGCCCCACCCGGCCCACCAGGTGAGGAGAGCAGGCCTCGGTGACAGGAGGACGAGCTCCCAGAGCGGCCCTGCAAGGACCAGGAAGCACTGCAGGTGGACTTTCACGAAGGCTGTCTTCCCTTTCCCAGAAGCACGCTGGCACTACGCAGTGCTGCGTTCCTGATTTCCTCCCAGCTTGCCCCGCCCCTCCATGGTGGTCAGCTGCTGTCCCTCCCTACAGGGTCCTGAGCCTTCGGGGATGGGCTGGGCCACAAAAGCACCCTCGTGGCTGGCGTGGTGTTGCTTTTGCTTGCTAGAGGGCACGTGAGCTCACCGGAGAGGGAGAGAGGAGGGAGGGCTCACCCCAGGAAGGGCCGCACCACAGTCCCTTCTCCTCCTGAGTTCTGGGCACACATACCTGTACCTGGTGTGATTCTCAAGTCCCTGGGTCTGGGACTGACCCTGTGGAGGTGGCTACGTGGGAGCTGTTGCCCTGCTCCCATGCCACCTGCTGGCCCGTAGGCATGCGTTTAACCCATGGGGCAGCAGGAGGCCGACCATTTGTGCATCCTCACAGCTGGGACGGATGTAGGCCCTGAGCCGACAAAGGATCCCTGAGTACTCAGAGTACTCCCTGCTTGGGCCATGCAGGCCCCTCAGGTGTAACACCCCTGCTCCTGATCGGACCCTCTGCTCTGCTCTGAACCGTCTTTTTGGTGCTTAGAGTTTCTTAATCTTTTTGTGCTCTGGATCCTTTAGTGGTGTGGAGAAACCGGATACTCCTCGCAACAATGCTTAGTTTTCTTGTTACTTATTTATCCACTTCAGCTTGACCAGAAATGGGCGGTGGGGGGAGCAGCAAGCCGCCGGGCTCAGGACTCGAACTGCAGTTGGCCATGTGCAGTTCAGTGCCCTTAACCACCACGCCCCAGTTTTCTTTGTCTTTCTTTTTTTTAAAGAATTAGTTTATTTGATCTTTATTTATTTATTTTATTTTAATTTGACCATAGAGGAACAGAGTGAGAGAGATGGAAAGTGAGAAAGCAAGTCACCAGGTCTAGGACTTGAACCATGGTCAGCCATGTGGGAGTCCAGCGCCCTTCACTACCACGCCACCTGCTAGCCCCTAGTTTCGTTTTCTTGGAGTCTCTCCCCCCTCCCTGCCTCCCTTCCTCTCTCCCTGCCTCCTTCTCTGTTTTCTTTCTCTGCTCTTTCTGTCTTGAGAAAGACACATACCTCAAGGGTCTGAGGCAGCGACCCTAGCCAGCCGGGTGACTGGCTTGGACAGCGGTCTGGGAGTGGTGGTCTGTCTTGGGGCCAAGCCCGATCTGTGGAGAGCCCAGCCACGCTGTGCTTGTACCGCAGTGCCACCACAGCTGCCCAGACGCGCTGCTGAGTGCATACAGTAGCACACTTAGGCTTCTATGGAAACTGACCTCGTTGAGCACGGTTACATTCAGAGGGCCGGGGGCCTCGACCCCAGACAAGGAGCTGCTGTTCTGTCTGCTCTGGCTGCTCCTACCCATTGGCTTTCGGGCACTTGACGTGTGGTGAGCCCAGAGAGTGACGTTCGCAAGTGTAAACTGCATGTAGGATATTGGAAGACTGGCCAGCCCAGCAGCCTGATGGCTAAGAGAGCCAGGTCCCACATGGCTGATCAGGCAGTTCAATTCCTGGCCCCTGCAGCTCGAATAGCATCCTTGGAGTGATTGCATGCCCCAAATCCCAATTGGACAGAGAAATGGAGGGAAAGGATTGCAATGTGACCACACCCCACTGGGGGGCGCTTTCTCCCTCTGCCTCTGTCTCTCTGGCAAATTTTTAAAAAATTATTTTGAAGGATTTAGTATTAAAAAATGTATAAATGTCTTATTAATATTTTGAAATATGGATTATGTTTCAAAATGTTAATACTTTGGATTAAATATGAAAACATTATTACAATGCAATCGGTAAATGACTTACGAGGCTGTTCAGATGAATGCCTGACAGTGTGACTGTCCCAGCGGGGAGACCTGGGTGCCACCTGCAGGCACAGGCTCTGCCGCTGGCTCTCGAGCCCCATCTGTCTCTGAGACCTTGCTTGGGACCATTTTTAGCCGACCACGCTCCCAGGTCCCATCATGCTGCCTTCGTAGACTGTAAGCGCGCAGGGGAAATGTATATAAATGTTTGCTCTAGGGTCCACGCACCTGCTGGAGACAGCCGGAGAGAGAGGCAGGTAAGAAAGACCCTGCAGGAGGCGGCGCCCTGCCACGATCTCTTCCTCCTCCATTCTCGGAATTTGGGGCACACATGCACAAGTGCCCAGCATATTTTTCAAGCCACCAGGTCTGGGACTCAAACCATGTGGTTGGCCATATGGGATCCAGCAACCTTAACTGCCACGCCATCTGCTGACCCCCCAGAATGTTTCTTTTAATTGCCAGAGGATGTGTGTGCTAACCAGAGAGACAGAGACAGAGGACACGGGAGAAAGCGTACCCAGTGGGGCACAGCCATGCTGCAGTCGGTCCCTTCTCGGCCCCTCCATCCTGTCAGGGTTTTCCAAGTCCCTCTGAGGCTGGATCTTGAACGTGGCTGGCCATGTAGGATCTGACTCCCTTAACCAGCAGGCTGTGGGGCTGGCCCCGGGATATTTCTTGATGCCATGGTAAATAACTTCATCCCAGCGACACCCATGAGGACCCTGGCCCAGCCTGACTTCGCCGTCTCCGCCAGAGGCTTCGTTCTGTAGGCAGAGGTGGTGGGCCATGGTCCTCATGTAAGCGTCTAACTGGAGTGTGCCAACAGAAGTGGGCTAGGTGCCCTCCATGTCACGGGCAGGCGTCGAGGCCGAGCCATGGGTGTGACAGGCTGCGATGTCGTGCCCTAAAGTGGAAAATGGGAAACTCTAGGAAGGACTTTGAAAAATTCTTGCGAAAGTGGAATTAAAGTACTGGTTTATTTCGTGGGAGAAAACATCCCTACATAGTTGTTTCGTACCACGGTTTCCTGCGAGCTGGTGGGGAGCCCGGGTGAGGCTGGGAGCACTCCCCGCGAGCACGGTCGATGGCCCGGCCGCGGGAGGTCAGCCTGTGCTGGGAGCCATGGCTCTGTCTGGGGGACGGCTGTGCCCCGAGGAGCAGGAACCACAGTCGGGGTGCCTGACGTGCACACAGACAAGGACACCGCGGTGGAAGGACGTGTTGGGGGCAGAGGCCAGAGTCCGTGGGGATGAAAGGGCAGGAGACGCCAGGGTCCCAGGGTGAGTGTCCAGATGGCTACGGTAGGCCTGGGTGGTGGCCCAGAGATAGTGCCAGTGCTTGGGGGCTGGAGGCCGCATGGAGGGCACGGGCTGGGGCCTGGCTGGGTTGGGCGAGCAGGTACGCTCACGTGTGGCTTCACCCTGTGAACGGGGAGCCGAGGGCAGGAGGCGTGTGACAGGGCAAGACACTGTCGAGGTAGCTGTCTTGGGGCTAGGTGGTGGCACAGGGGTTATGCTGCTGGCCCCACGTGGGAAGGGCCCTGGGTGCATGTCTGGAGCCTCCTTGGGCACCTGGGCACGCATGTGCACACCTGTGCTACGGGCCAGGCTGGCGAGGGCAGGTGGGTGTGGCATGAAGACGCGGGAGGCTTCTGTCTCTCTCCCCGGGGAGAAATCTTTAAAAAGGCCTGTTTCTTTTTTGTTCTTTCTCCCGCTCTCCCTTTCTTCCTCTGCCTGTCTCTAAAAGGAGGACTCAGCTGGTCCTGACTCTCACTTGAAACGCAGACCTTCTTTTAACCCTTTTTCTTTTACAGTTTATCTCATGGGAGAGACGGGGTGGGGGCGGGCGGCCGGGCGGGCTGACCCCACAGTCTCCCCCGCCTTCCAGCCGGGACATGGTGCCGGTGCGTCCCACCCCACAGGTTGAGGCTGGCCTGGGGTCTGGGGCCTCCCAGAGGGCTGCAGGAGTGTCCCATGGCGGTCTCTCCTGCCGGGCGAGGCCAGCCTCCACTCTGTGTTCGCTCTGTGTCTTGCTGGGAGGTCCCCATTGTGTCCCCTTAGTCTACGTAGTTAACGCTTGCAGGGGTGACGCCCAGCCCAAGGCTCTGCCCCACACCCTGGGTGGGCTCTGGGTCTCGGAAGGCAGTCACCAAGTGTGTTCTGCATTCCACGCACGGGGTCACGGGTAGCAATTGTGGCTGCGGTCATTTTAAACACAGCTCCGCAGCAAAGCGCTCCGAGGGGGGTAAATAAAACCAGAGGCAGAGTGGCGTCCTGTTGGCAGGGCCTGGCTGCACAGTGGGCTACGTGGTGTTGGGCTTTGCCACCAGACACGCTACATGAGCTTCCAGTTTTCAGACACATGGTCACGACTGGACTGTGGTCACCGTGACGACAGGGGCACGGACACTGAGCACATAGGCCGGGTCTGCGGGTTCAACCGCCTGCCCTGAGCCATCTGCTCTCGCTGCAGTCTGGGGAGGAAGGTCCGGCCAGTATGTCCATCCCGGGAGAGTAAGAGGGAGCACAGAGAAGGCCAGCCACCTGCCCGAGGTCAGAGCAGGCTGCAGACCCAGGCGTCGGCTCCAGCAGCTGCACGCTTGACCCCGGGTGTTGGTTTGGGGATTTTTAAACTTCATTTATTTATTGAGAGGGACAGAGTGTGGGGGGGTGCTGAGAAAGTAAGCCGCTGGGTCCAAAACTCAAACCATGTTCGACCATGTGGGTGTCCAACGCCCTTAACCACCACGCCACCTGCTGGCCCCAGTTTTGATTTTTTAAAAACATACCTAAGCACTAGGCTCTGTTGTTTCCTGTTTACTTTACATGAGGAGCAGGAGGGGAGATTTTGGTATCTTGACAAGGTCTCACTTGGCCCACCCCCCCAGGTTGGCGAGCTCCACCCTTAGCTGCTGCTCCAAGAACCGAACCGTGGCGAGCCCAGGTCCCACGTGGCCTTGCCTCCCAACCGAACCTGCTCTCGCGGAGCAGGACTTGGTGTCAGCTTGGTGTGAGGCAGTGCCGCAGTGTCGGCTGGCGGGAAGCCGTCTGGGCAAGGGGGCTTGTCCTGGAGCGGGAGGCCGTGGCTTCTGGTGATGCACACAGGCCCGCCAGACTCAAGCACCTGCTTCTCTTCCAGATCAGTGAACCCGGGCGGCTGCGTGCTGTGCCGTGAGGGATGGAGGCCCCACTGGTGAGCCTAGACGAGGAGTTCGAGGACCTGCGGCCCTCCTGCTCGGAGGAGCCAGACGGCGGGCCACAGTGTCTGTACGGCTCGTCACCCCATCACCTTGAAGACCCCTCACTCTCTGAGCTGGAGAACTTCTCTTCCGAAATCATCAGCTTCAAGTCCATGGAGGACCTTGTGAATGAGTTTGACGAGAAGCTCACCGTCTGCTTCCGGAACTACAATGCCAAGACCGAGAACCTGGCACCCGTGAGGAACCAGCTGCAGATCCAGGAGGAGGAGGAGACCCTGCAGGACGAGGAGTAAGCCCTGCCTGCCTCCCCGCTCCCGGGCCCCGGGTTCAGGCTTTCCCAGTGGGGGCCGCGTTGTAGGGACACGCCCATCTAAGGAGCTGTCTTCAGCTTTCTTTCCATCTGCGTAAACCACCCAGGTACCGGTCGTCGGGAAGCCACGGCACATTTGTGCATAGAGCACACGGCGTGACTTCCCCGCCGACCCAGTTACAAGGACCTCAGGAAAACGTGCTGAGGTGGAGGAGTCTGTCCTCGTACAGTGTGCGTCTAGAAACACGAGGGTTACCAACAGCTCAGATTTGTTTACAACGGCTCGGGCTCACGAAGGTGCCCTCAGACATTCTGTCCAAGTAGGAGCGCCTTGGGCTGGGTGCAGAGCACAGGGGGCCATCTGGACAGAGTCAGGGTTTTCGGGGAGCAGGGAAGTGGAGGTGGGGGAGAGCCGGGGGCGCCCCCATGGGGAATGGTCACGCCACGGTCCCTCCTCCATTTCTCCCTCCTTTCAGGACTTCGGGCACACGTGCACACCTGCAGTGTTTTGCAAGCCCCTGGCACACACAGGGACGTAAGTGGCACAGTGGGTCGTGGGGTGGGATGCAGCTGCCGTAACCACTAGACCACAAGCTGACCCCTGTCTGGCGGGAGGTGTCTTGTTTTTGGTTAGATTTTGCCATCGGGCACATGTACTCACTGGAGAGAGACGAAATCACCCCAGGGGCACGGCCAGGGGAGATCGGGGCACACGCACACACACCTGGCGTTTATTTCTTCTTTCGAGATTTTTTCCTTAGTGTGTGTGTGCTCGATGGAGAGAAAGAGACAGAGACAGTGAGAGGGAAAGTGAGAAATCACCCACCGGGGGGGTGGCCACGTCACACCCCTCTCTTCTCCCGGGATCTTGGGCATGGATGCACACACACCCGCATGAGTTTTGGCCACTGGATTTGGGACTCGCATCACTGCCGTGCGGGAGTCCAGCGACGCGACCACTACGCCATCTGCTGGCCCTGTCAGGTGATTTTTCAAGCTGCCAGGTCTGGGACCCAGTGAGACTGGAATGTCTGTTTTCTGACTTTTGAACTATAGAACTGAAACGGTATCCCGGGCTCTATCCTTTTTTCTTTTTTAAGATTTTTTTTTTTTTTTTTTTTTGCCATAGGATGTGTGGACTAGCCAGAGAGACAGCGAGACAGTGAGAGGGAGCATGAGAAAACACTCCCTGGGGGACGGCCACACCGCAGTCCCTTCTCCTGGGGTGTCTGGGCATGCATGTGCACGGCAGCAGGTCCGAGACTCAAACATGCCTCAAACATGCTTGGCCACGTGGGAGGCTAGCACCTCCGCTCACGCCCCCTCTGGCTCTTGGTTCTGCTCTTGCATGAGTGAGTGCCCTTTTCTTTGCCCTGAGAGATCAGAGAGAGCTTCTCGGGGCCACTGCGAGATAGGGACCCCACACCTCTGTCTCCCTGGGCCACTGTTGGTCCTTATGAGGACCCTGGAGACAGGGCTTGGCTGTTTCCTGTTCTCCCACAGAGCCGAGGTGAGGGTGATGGTGAAGGTGAGACCCACGGGGTGCGTGACCGCCTTTGAGGGGACTCACATGTAAATCCCACGCTCTGGAGAGCTGCAGCCGTCTTTGCTCGGAGGCCTGGACTCCGGTAGGGGAGACAGAGTTGGCACCGATCCTATTTAAACAGCGGAAGGGTCTAAGACCCTGCACGGGGACGTAGCGCACTGGCCACTTCCACAGCTCAGGCGCACACACCCCAAGGGTGGACCCTGCACTGGGGGAGCCGAGGGCTGGGGCTTCGGGGGCGCTAGCAGGCTGGGCCCTCGGACCCTTTCATTGCCACCGTGCTGTGGTGACAGTGGTGCACATGGCAGTGTGCCGGCTGCCAGCCCCAGCCCAGGCCAGGCCCACCCTGCTCTGCCGGGACACTCTCTAGGCCCAGCCTCTGCCCCGGAAGGCGGTCCAGTCTCATCCGCAACTGCCCAAACTACACGGCAGGGCGGGGCAGGCGTCGTGACACCTGGGTTGAACCTCGTGGCTGGTTGGGGAGGGTGCCCCTTTGTTTCCAGGGTCCTCCCTGGGTGCACATGGACAGGAGGGCTGGGGCTGCGGGGGTGCTGTCTCTCCTCTTTCTCGCTCATGGTGGAGATGAACACGTTAAATGCGCACAGGGAGAGCCTTTCCTGCGGTTACACCCAGGGGCTGAGGCGCAGGCAGCACGGGGCGGGACTCAGGCCCTATTTCGTGTCGGCTCTGATAGGGGGGCCTACGGGTTGCTTCGAAAACCCCTCTCCAAAGGCAAGGCGAGAGTGGATGGCAGGGAAGTTTCTCGAGAAGTGGCATTTGCAGTAAGCCTGGTCCCTGCAGGGGTCTGTCTGTCCCGAGAGCCCTGAGCCCTGGCTATGGGACCAAGAGCCCCCTGGGGAGGAAAGTCTGTCTCTCCGCCCCGGAAGTTCTGCTCGCCCCACCCTGGGCCGGGGTGCCCTGTGCCCGCCCTTCCTCCTCCTATGCATCACCCGGTCCAGAGCGATGCCAGTGTGGGCGGAGCGCAGAGCTGGCGCTGAGCCGCAGTCTCAGCTGAGGTTCAGGACCCAGTGTGTCCTGGTGTCAGTCATGGACTTCGTGAGGGGCCGAGAGTTCTGGGCTTGGGCGGCTCTGTAGCCCTGCCGCTGGCTCCACCCCGACCTGCCGGGACTCCCTGTGAGCTCAGGAGCGTGCTGGCCCCCCACCCGGTGTCTCGCTTGTTGCCCACACCTTGTGCGTGAACAGCAGCCCACCCGTGGGTCAGAGCCGCCTTGACCCGTATCAGGCTCTGTCGCCATTGTTCCGCGGGCCGAGGTGTGCAGGAGGGCTGCACAGGAGGCCACAGAGGGCTGAGGGCTGCCCTGGCCGGGGCTCCTTATAACCTCAAAGGGTTAAAAGCACATGAGAAAAGGGAGATGACCTGGTCAGAAATGAAGGGGAGGAGGCTGGTTCGAAGTCAGGAGTAAAGGCTTGGGGCTGTCAGGAAACCCAGGCTCGGAGAATGGGAGTGTGTCAGTGAAGGTGCAGGCGAGGAAGATGGGTCCTCCTTGGGAGACCCGAGTGAGGCTGCTGTCACCTAGGGACAGAGCTTCCTCAAGGTCACCGGGAGCCGTGCAGTCCTGGTCTTGCCCGTGTAGCAGGGAGCTGCCGCAGGCTCCTGCCTATTTTGGGATTTGCTGAATCGCACTTCTCCAGGCATGTCCTGCAGGACGCTCTGAAGGTCGGCACCTGCACGCGTGTCTCTTCTTGAAGTGGAGAATTTGCTGGTGCTGGAGACGGCCTGGTCTGGCCGCAGGTGTGGGACCTGGGCGTCGGTCTTGGCATAGCAAGCCCCAGCTCTCTCAGGGCGCCAGGGTGCTGGCAGGGCTTGGCTTTGGAGGTGGCCTGGACCAAGGTGGCTCTAACAGCCCCTGACAGACGACGGGGTGCCACCCTGCAGGCGCTCGCTCCTGCCTCCATGGGGTATTCAGCACGCAGGAGGCTGCAGTGCCAGGAGCCACACCTGGCTGCGGTTCCGGTCCCAGCCCGCTGAGCTAGACGGTGCCAGGCGTGTCTAGCCCGAGACCCTGAGGAGCTGGGGACTGTGGCAGGGGGTTGCAGCAGGACAGGACCCCACTGAGAGCCCCACCACGTGCACGTGCGTTTTCTACACGAGGGGATTTTTGGAAGATGAAGACCCACCAAGCCCATCATGGTGGTCAAAGTGCCTGGATCCCACATGGCTGACTGTGGTCCGAGTTCTGGACCTGGCAGCTTGAGAAACACTCTGGGTGCGTGTGCAAGTGTGCCCATTCCCCAAGGAAGGGGAGACCCTGTGCGTGTGCACGCGTGCCCAGTTCCCAAGGAAGGGGAGACCCTGTGCGTGTGCAAGCGTGCCCAGGCCCCAAGGAGGGGGAGACGCTCTGAGTGCGTGTGCAAGTGTGCCCAGGCCCCAAGGAGGGGGAGACGAGGTGTAACGTGACTCCCTGTGGGAGGTGTTTGTTTACTTCTTGCTCTGTCTGTCTCTCCTGCAAGCACATGCACCCTTGGGCATAGTTTTAAAGTGAGTGAGTGGATGAATAAGTAAATAAGAATTAGGCTTGGGGCCAGCAGGTGGTGTGGTGGTTAAGGCACTGGACTCCCACATGGCCGACTGCAGTTTGAGTCCCAGTCCTGGCAGCTTGAAAATCATCCTGGAGGTGTGTGCATGTGTCCCAAATCCCAGGAGGAGAATGGAGGAGAAGGTGATTTCTTACTGTCCCTCTCGCTGTCTCTCTTAGGCGTGTGCGTGTGCCCTATGGCGAAAGCTTAAAAAAAAAAAAAAAAGAAAAAGTAGAATTTGGCTCTGAAACCCTGCTGAGTACATGTCTGACAAGCACTTCGCAAGCTCTCGCAAAGGGCTTTCGTGTAAAGGTCAGAGAAGAGCGAATATGCAGATGCCCAGAACTGCTCTCACTGCTGCCTGGGCTCCTGTGTCTGCAGGACTGAGCCGCTGCAGGAAGCACTCTGCTCCGTCAACTGCCTGCACGGCCCTCCCTGTCCCTGTGCGTCAGCGGCGCCCTCCTGAGTCGCTGCGTGGGTTCCCAGTGTCGGTGGGCACAGAGGCTCTGTCTGCTCTGCCCTTTAGCATTTGCAACCTGCTCTGCACGGTTTCACGCTGGTCCGTGCACAGACACGCTTGCCTGCACTTTCTAGCGTGACAGATGTGTGCTCAGCAGAGAGAGAGAGAGAGAGCGCGAGAAAGAGAGAGAGCGAGAGAGAGAGAGTCAGAGAGAGTGAGTGAGAGAGAGAGAGGGAGTCAGAGAGTGAGAGAGAGAGAGAGAGAGTGAGAGAGCAAGAGAGTGAGCGAAGAAAGAATGAGAGAGCGAGAGAGTGTGAGAGAGAGAGTCAGAGAGAGTGAGAGAGAGAAAGAATGAGAGAGTGAGAGAGAGCGAGAGAGAGTGAGAGAGTCAGAGAGAGTGTGAGAGAGAGAAAGAGAGGGAGTCAGAGAGAGAGTAAGAGAGAAAGAGAGAGAGAAAGAGAGGGAGTCAGAGAGAGCGAGAGAAAGTCAGAGAGAGAGTGAGAGAGTCAGAGAGCAAGAGAGAGAGAGAATGAGAGAGCGAGAGAGTGTGAGAGAGAGGAAGAGAGGGAGTCAGAGAGAGAGTAAGAGAGAAAGAGAGAGAGAGTCAGAGAGCGAGAGAGAGAGAGAGAGAAAGAGAGGGAGTCAGAGAGAGTCAGTGAGAGAGAGTGAGAGAGCGAGAGAGTGAGCGAGAGAGAGAGTGTGAGCCAGAGAGTAAGAGAGCGAGTGAAAGAGCAGCCCCTGGGGGATGGTCATGCTGCAACCTGTCTCCTCCATCTCTTCCTCTTCTTGGGATCTTGGGCACACTCATGTGCCCCGCCTGTTTTTCCAAGCCTCCAGGTCTGGGACTCGAACTGTGCAGTCAACCGTGTGGGATCCACGCGCCCTAACCACCATGCCACTGACTGGCCCCATATTTGCTTATTTCTCAAGCTATGTCCTTAGGCTAGTGCGCCCAAATAAAATGCGCTTTCTGACGCCTGGGCCTCCCGGCTGTGCCAAAGGGGACGCCTTCGAGCCCCATTGGTGCAGTGCCGTGGCTCCCGGGGCTGCCTCCCTGGGTGTCTGGCTCCTGGTGTGCAGTGCTCTTTGGTGTAGACTAACTTGTGTGTCTCCTGATGTGTGGTGTTTGTGACTCCATAACTTCCCCAGCCCCCATCTCTTCCCCAAAGAAACCTTTCTGGTGTGAGTGGGGCAAGTAACAATGGTAGAAACCCCTCCCTCCTTTCCTGCGGTTTTTGCTATAGGGCACATGCGCTTGCCAGAGAGCCAGAAAGCGAGAAATGACTGTCCCAGGGGCGGCCACGCTGCAGTCCCTTCTCCCTCCTCCTGGGATCTCCGGCACACCCATACACGTGCCCAGCGGAGCTTTAAGGCGCCGGGTCTAGGCCTTGAGCCGCGGTCCACTACGTGCGAGTCCAGCAGCATAGCCATCATGCTGTCTGCGGTCCCGGGAAACCCTTTCTCACACTGTCCACATCCAGAGTTTAAGATGAAATACACTGGATTGTCGGAAAGACACGGTACATTTTTGCCTAGAAAAATAGGAAACTGGCCCTGTAGTGAAGAGCCTGCCCTTTCCCTGCCCAGGCCGGGCTGTGAGGCCGGGCTGTGAGGCCGGGCTGTGAGGATGGGCTGTCGGTGGCTCCACCCTTCGCTCCATTTTGCTCAGGCCGGGCTCTGGCTGCTTTGAGCCCTCCGCAGGCTGTCCTCCCGGC